ATCCGGATGTGAATAAATTTATATTAGTTTATAGCTGATGCTTTCCTTTTCTTAATGCGTATATAAGTCACTTCAATAATTATGATTGAAAATTGTTTTTATTTAGTTTGTCTTAGTGAATTTGAGTGCTTTAATGGATATTCCCACTAATTTTATTTGAAACATTATTTGATTCGAATGAACTCTGAAGATCAATAGAAAGTTAGAAACTGAGGGAAACACATTAACTTAAATTATTTTGATTGCAAACCCTCAACTTTTGGGCAACGGAGAAGTTTTTCCTTGAGTCTTAACAACATTTGAGCTAAAGGCCTAGGACTCGCAAGTTTTGGGCATGGGATGGTATGATGGCTACTAAAGAAAAGAAAAGAATCGTCTCCCTCCCTTATGCAGTCTTCTGGATGTACCGAAAGAAAGAGAAAAAGAAAAAAGCCTTTCCGAAGAGCTGAGCAACCTTTTTGAAGGGCTGGGGCAACCCCATCATTGGATTAGTGTCTCGAGTTGCCAACTGTAAGTTTATGGATAGTGTTTGCTCTTTCATCGATTTGGGAAGGGGGTCGAGAAACTAGGATACGTGTAGACTTTTTGTCTAGTGCTAATGTAAGGCGTACTTTTTGCGCATGAGGGGCACATCCAAGGTGCAGCCGGGAACAACTGTAGACTAGAATGGCTTCGAGTCTTTATGGCTATATTATCTGAGGGTATTCAATTAATTAGTAATACTGGGTGATTAGCTTTTGAATTGATACAGAGCCGTCTTATGCTTTGATTAGCCATCAAAGTCTATAAGTTCCTGCCTATCTGTGGAAGTATTTCAATTTACCAAATTGGTTATTGTCAAGGATCAAATTGTATTTCAGCATTCTTCAACAACTTGATGAAATTTTTTATGTTAAAACTGCTTCATATTTTTGTTTATTTATTGAGGTTTGAAAGGAATCAATTATTTTGCGTAATCTATCTGTTTTCAATTTGGTTTGAGTTATGATAGAAGCCACTTAGTACCATGTGCCTTATGCTAGTTTCTAATATAGAGGATGTTCAGTGGGAAGCCGGAGTCGCTCTATACTATCTGCAGTCAAGTTTCACTTGGTGGTCATCTTAGGACCTTCTTAATGTTACTCATAAATCGACCACTGATTCGTGGTTCATTCTTATGATATCTTGGTTCTTTTGAATATTGAGACCCATTAAGCCTATAAGTTTACCCATTGCTTATCCTTCCAACTTTCATCTTTGTCTTCGATGATCTGCACCATTTTTTTATTTTTTATTTTTAAAAAGATCTTCATCATCTTCTTTTCCAAGGGGTCATTATTCAGCTGGAGCCTTTTGCCTTTGATGTCAATATTGCTTCAAGCATATGTAGCTACTAATATGTGTTGTTCTGAAGCATAGAGGTTAGCCACTTAACAGAATGCATGAAGCTTAATGATCTGCTATTGTAAATTAGTGCCAGTGACCTGTGACTGGTGAATGATGCTGCTTTACAATACTTGAGAGAAACAGGACAGTATAATTTGTCACTTACCACCTGCTGTCAGAATATTATTTCAAATTCTTCTCGAAGTCTCTCTTCCCAATTATTCCATTTCCTGTTCAGTTGTCTGCTGGTTTATGTAATATGTAATATGGCAAAGCCTTCCATTGGTCAATGGACTTTGAGGTGGCAAAGACTTGTGAGACTCTCCCACATGGGATGCATGTTTGAAGGTCATTACTTATTTATTTTCTGTACACAGCCTGGGGTCTAATAAGATACTTGTGACAATTGGGGATTTATGAATTTCTTACCATTTATGTATCCTCTAACAATATTAAAGTTCTCTTGTTGTTAACTATTTATGTGTTAGTTTTGTTAGACCTCTTCCTTATTTTTTGTTTTTTTATTCATATTGACAGAATAAACTGAACTTTGTGAATACTTTCAATGTACAAAACTAACTCCAAAATTGTATTTCTACTTGGGCTTTTTTCTTATTTATCCTTGTGGGGAAGTTCCTATTGGTTGTGATCCAATTGGAATGAACTTGAATTTGTTCTGCTGCCCTTTCTTGGGCAAATCAAGATCTTTTTGGCATATCCTTTTCTTGGGGAACTAAGATCTAATTTTGATGAATATCTTGGACACATCTTTTTTTTCTGAAATAGAAAATGGAAAGTATATAACTAGGAGCACCAAGGGTGCAACCCATGTCAAATTTACAAAGTATTCATTGTAGCAAAAAGGTTTCTAAATTTCTCCCTGACCACTGGAGGTTTCTAAATTTTTTGAAATAGAAAAAATCAAGGGTCTTAAACCATCTATTTTTAAGTACATCAAAACCTCTCACCATTTCAATCCCCTCAAAACCCTTACTATTCCTCTCCTTCCACACAAACCATAAGATAGATACTGGAATCATATCAACAAACATACATCTCCCCTTCAGAAACTTCCAAGCCTCTAATTCCTTTCTGACCGACCCAGACACCACCCAATTAATCCCCAAAATGTTATATAATGCAGACCACAGCTCAGATACACCATTGGGCACCAGTGTAAAACATGGTTACAGCTCTCCTCAGCTTTTCTGCACGTAAAATGGCCATTCACTTGGATTATACCCCTACTTCTCAGTTTATCAATGGTTAAGATACACTCCTTACAAGACTCCCATGCAAAAACGGAGATCCTAGGAGGGACTCTCACCTTCCAAACCTGTTTATAAGGAAATCATCTTGGACCCATCTCTTTTATTGAGTCGGAGCTGTTCCATGAGATATGGTGTTTGTGTGAAGGATATTGA